GACAACCCCGTAACAATATGCGTTTTGTACTGCTGTTACACAGCACAAAACGCATAAAAAGTACACTTCGCAAAACATTTTTTTTTTTGATAAAAAATGTCTAAAATTTTAGAAGCGACGGTGATTGTTGCAGAAATTCAGCGAAATCAGACAGAAAAATGAAAAAGAAGGTGTGCGCTGCACCTGGTAACAACGTTGGACAATTTAGGGTGGTACGTACAGATATAAATGCTCCAGTGCTCTAGGGGGATGAGTTCGGTAGTGTAATGGATAAAACGCCACGATTTGAGGGATCTGAGACAGTGAAAACGTGGGGTTCGACTCCCTTCAGGTCCATAATTATCTGTGAAAAGAGTCTGTCTGCAAATGCAACAATCCATTCAACAACAATCTACTTTTACTTCTTAAAATGAAAATGCCGAAAATTTGTTATTTTCCAAGAAAGCGCAAGTCACGACCAAAACGACCATTCTAATTAAAATACTGCCTCCATTCCATTTTTGTCACCATTTATTCAGTTGTGGCGCACTAATGCTTTCACGATTGTTACGTATTTCAGTGCTGTTATTGATATGCAGGCTTCGTGGGACCAATTAAATTCAGACTACATTTTTCGAATACAGTCTGATCCCTTTGGATAAGCCTGCATGCCATTTATACAAATTTCCTATCATTCAGCCACAACTCGCTTTCGTTCGCTTAATTTGTTACATTTTTCTATCCCAACTTGAATAAGTTAGCCTCGAGTACTCCGATTTGGTAACACACTTTATCGTGATCTAGGAGCGGCAAGATCTAAGACAAAGTGTTTGTGATTAACACGCATCACACATCCTTAATTTTTCTGGAAGCAACGTAGGTTCATCGTCAAGCACCTTGATTTTTCTGGAGAGAGCATCTTTTGCAAATGAGCATGGACCAGTAGAGAATCGAACAACTCGTCTTCACGTGTGGACATGAAGTGTTAAACCATTACAACACCGGCTTCTGTGCTCACTGAGCTTACGATTTTAAGCTATAGCGGTTATTTCAATGCACGCGGCTTTTCGCGGGACTTCTGCGGTAGTGGCCAAAATAACTGGAAAATTTGTGAGCTCGCATAGCTAGAGAATCAAAATA